AAATACCCCAATGGTGACTTACAGAAGGATGATGTTTGGAAGGGAGGGTTTTCTGAAGGACTGGCTGGGAAAACCCTCAATAGTTCAGGGAAACAGTTTGAATGTTGTTAGGCCAGAAGCCACCAGATGATGCTGTTAAGACGTCTTAAATGTTTTTTCTTAGGGCTTAGCTACATTTGCAGATGTAGGGCACTGTGAGTTAAACCAGCCCTCAGAGAGCACAGCAGGGAAAGCGCTAGTCTGTCCACATCGACAGCTGCAAGCACACTGGCATGGCCCCGTTTGTGGCACTTGCAGTGGCATTTGCAGCGGTGCATTATGGGCAGCTATCCCACAGAGCACCTCTTCCCATTCTGGCACTGTGGCTTGTGGGAAGGGGGTGAAGAGGGGTGCAGGGCATTCTGGGTCCTGTCCCAATGCATCGTTTCATATCCCATGGACACCTCCATGGAGATATTGGCATAGTCTTCTTACAGCACCATGGTCCCAAGTGGAGACCAGTAGTTTGTGTGTCATGGCCCCACAGTATGCCAACATAAGCCACTCACTGCCACTGCCAGCCCCCCTGCCCCCCAGAATACAGAGACTATATTTTCAGTTCAAGATGTATCCTTTGCCAATTGCTTCCAAACCTGGGAGAGGCTGGCTGGTTGCAAACACGCTCGCTGGAGCACTGAACACAAGTGCGGTGGAGCAAAGTTCAGAGTTAGATTTTGTCCGTCGCTCAGAATTTTAAAAGTTGCGTCGGGTCTCAGACAAAATGCGGACGGCGATTGCCAGAGCTACTGCTCGGGATGAAACCCTGCCGAAGGTAACTGAGGCTGTTAGCACAGGACGTGGGAAAGCAGGTTCCCAGCCCCTATCATCAATACAAGGGGAGCTCTCCGCACTAGGCGGCATTTTGTTTAGAGGCACAGGAGGGCGATCCCCAAGGCGTTACAGGAAAATACTTTAAAAAGGAGACACGAAGATCAGTTGGGGATGGAAAAACCTCAGAGAATGGCCAGAGCCCTTTTATGCCGGCCTCACATGAACAGTGATGTTGAGGAAGCTGTCGAGGGTTTCACATATGCCAAAAATACAGACGTGGATACCTGGACAGAGGCCGGATGCTGGGCACTTTAAGGGAACTGCGTTGTTTGGACTTCTGAGTAACCAGTGAGGTTCTATAGAAGCTGTTTCATGCTGGCTGGGTAAATCTAAATATTGAAATATCCACCAGCTTTGGGTATTGTCCCCCCCGTTCTGTTTGCAGTTCACCCTAATTGAGTGACCTGAGCTGGCTCCCACCAGGACCACGGTCACAAGCCATCAGAGAAATTCTGCACCTCTCATTCCTTTGGGCCCTCCTATCTCTTATCTGTTAGCATACCAAACATTCCTCCACTCACACAGAACAGTTTCAAAAACAAGACTTCTTACAGAGCAAAGCAGAGCTAAACAATCCTTAATAAAACAGTTCCTTCTTACTGCTACTAAAAATGAAATAAGACCCCAAACTATTTCTTCTTACTAATTCCAAAACACATTATACTCACAGAAATGAATACAAATATTACTACTTAAAATAATTATCATTTAAAACAATATTTCAAAGCTAGGCTTTCAGGCCTACAGATGATCACAGTGGTCCATTTTGGCCTTCAAATCTAAGAATCTCTAAATTGTTCTAATAGTTAATTACCATCACTGTTTAAAAATATGCACCTTATTCAAGTCTAAATCTGTCCAGCTTCAACTTCCAACCACCTGAGCTTCTTATACCCACTGACTGCAGTGGGGTCTGGGCTGGATTCTGATCTCAGCTCCCCTGGGGACAATCTGGAGTCACCCCATGTGAGCTCCACTCTTACAAACCCCAATGAAAAGAAACCTGCATTATTTATTGTTCCGTATCTCAAGGTTTTTAAGTAAAACCTCCGTTCCCCCAGTGTAAATCCAGAGCCAATGCAGGTCCTCTGGGGCATGTCAGTTCAGATAGGAGCCCAAGTGTCTATGTTGGGAGCAGAGTTTAGTCCCCGTCCATGCTTACGCTGTCGTCAGGTATCTCCGGCTGTCTCAACTTTTCCAAGTCTTTCCGATGCTCCCTTCTAAAGGCGGCGAGCTCCTGCGCCCGTTGGACGAAGGGTCCCGGGCCTTGGAGCTTTGCCAGGTCGTCGCTCAGCTGCAGGTACCGTTCTGGGCTGCATCTCATCAGCCTCACCTCCAGTCTGAGCACCTCCAGCCCCAGGTTCTTCAGGGAATTCTCCTCCTCAGTCCGGTGCCAGTTGAAGAAATTAATGGACCGCAGGAAGTAACTGGGCAGGTGTTTCTTCTCCAGGCAGAACTCCAGCACCTTCAGCAGCGTCTCCACAGCATCCGGCACCGTGGCCCAGTGCTCTGTCTCTGGGTTGAGGTCAGAAGCCCAAAAAAGAACCGTCTGTAACAGAAACATGCAGCTCTAACCACTGGAGACTGCTACCCCCCACAACAAGGGCTAGAACCCAGGCGTCCTGGCTCCTGGCCTCCCTCCTCTAACCCACTAGATCTTTCTCCCCTATGCCTGTGGATGCTCCTATCACCCATTCTCCACCCCCTCCCACCCTGGCTCCCCCGTCTGAGTTACCTTCAGGTGGTAGGAGGTCAGGACTTTGCCGTAGCGCGGTACCCACTTCTCCATGTTGATTTGCTTCAGCACCCGCAGCGCCTTCCGCCTGCACCCACCATCGGCGTCAATGTCCTTGAGGAGCTGGGTCTCCGCCCTGGAGAAGGTGAGCCTGGAGTGGAGCGGAGGGAAATGGGGCAGGGCTGAATGGGTCAGACAGACCCCCATCCCCAACCTGCACTGAGGGGGGGCCTGGGCACCCCCTGCTGGAGGGGATGAGCCCTGCTCTGTGTGCATTTTTGTTGCCTTCTGCTGGAACAAATGAGATTTGCATTTTTACCTCCAGTACGAACCCTTGGCCACCAGATCGGTCCCAGTTTTGTAAATTTCCCCGATATTCCAGGTGGGTTTGATCCTCTCAGTGCCCTGCTCCCAGTCCCACCAGTCGGAGAGCCACCTCAGATCCTGCCGCGGCCAATCCATGGATATGTCCACTTTAGTCCGGATGGTGGGCACCAGGTCTATAGACACAGCTTGGCCGTCCACCTCTGCACTGAGCTGCACGGCTGGACACTTTGGTTTAATATCCATGTTCTTCAGTCTAACGTTGCCTTGGAGAGGGCAAGACAGAGGAGTGGGAGTCAACAGCCAACAGCTGACACAGGTCAAAGCTTTGCAGATCTGAGATGATGGCAGGGCAAAGATTAAGGGAATGAGGGCCAAGATCCTAGGACTCCTGGGTTCTCTCCACAGCTCTGGGAGATGATTGGGGTCTAATGATTAGAGCAGGGAAAGGGCTGGGAACCAGGACTCCTGGGTTCTTGTTCTGAGTGTCTGTGACATTGTGTGACTAACTTCATCTCCATGGGCATGTGGTGAGTTAGTGGAAGAGCTGAGACTAGAAACCAGGAATCCTGACTCCCTAACCCCTAACCCTGGGAACTCCATTGTGCAGGAGAGATTATGAAGGAACAGTGAAAAATTTCTCACCCCTCAGCTCTGCCAATGCCCCTCAGTCCCAACCTGCAGTCCCCCTGCTATCACAGCTGTGGGCTTCCCCAACACACAGCTCTACTGGTGCCCCTAAACCCCAACCAGCAGCCCCTACTATTGCAGCCAGGGGCTCCCCCATCCCCCACAGCTCTGTCAGTGCCCCTCAATCCCGACCCACAGCCCCCTTTTCAATGTACACCTCTACCCCGATATAATGCAACCTGATATAACATGAATTCGGATATAACGCGGTAAAGCAGTGCTCCGGGGGGAGAGGGCAGGGCTGCGCACTCCGGTGGATCAAAGCAAGTTCGATAGAATGCAGTCTCACCTATAACGCTCCCGAGGACAGCGTTATATCGAGGTAGAGGTGTATTTACTATTTTACCCTACGCAATTTAACAGTTTTCCCTTCTGTATTTCCATCATCGTTGGTGCTTACAATTTCTCCACATTACACTTTAATGTATATAATTTCTACTTACTAATTTTGGGAGCAAAGTCTCTTCTCTCTAAAAACAGAGATGGGGCAAGGAAAAGCTAATTAAAATCTATGACACTCCAATTCTTGTGTATAACACTGACCAAACAGACAAATTTGGAAGAAAATGATCAGTTTGCAACAGAGTTGAAAGAAGTCAGATTTCTCTGTGTCTATATTAATAAGGCCTTGGCCAGCTGCTAGTAAGAACTACAGGTTGTTGGAAGTGCTGAAATCAACACACACCGAAAATACGATCAGTTAGGCCTGTTCCACTGTTTAACTACTTCACTTATGGGGATGATTTTTATCCCAGTATACAGGGGTGGATTTAGAGTTAGTGGGGTCCTGTGCTCAGCTTCATTTTTGGGGCCCCCCTGGGGACCCAGCCAAGAAAAAGAACATTCTCTCTTATCTCCCCCATCCCTGGTTTTCATTCTTTTTTCTTCATCCTCCTCCTGTATTATAAGTCATAGGAAGTAAATGAAAATAAAGTGAGGTACCTTGATTGTTTTTGTCGTCTAACTTTTTTTTCACAGACCACTTGAAAATCGCTGAGGGTCTCGGCGAATCACTTAATGATCTTTCCAGATATTGTTTGTACCATTAGCTAACTAGTGTAAAGTGCTTTTGGATAAGAGCGTTTTATTAAAAAAAAAGGTAAAAAAGCATTGGGGTGCGGGGTCTGGACAGGAGTTAGGATGTGGGAGGGG